AAATATTCTTTTAATTTAAATCTTAAACTACTATTAAAATCAATTCAGGTAGTTAAATACATGTCTTTAAAAAGTATATTATATTTATAAAGTTCAAATAGTTCAAATGCCACATGTAATTGTATTCTAATACTGAGTTCTATATACACTTTCTTCATACATTAATGTAATGTTTCTTGGCTTCACAGATGGACCATTCATCCTTCCCATGTGGCTGCACTAAAGATGGCTGTGGGAACATGGCAGGCCGCATCGAGTTCAACTCCAGCCGAGTTCAGACCCACTACATCCACACCATCATGAAGCTAGAGCTGGAGAAGCGTTTGGAAGAGCACATGCCAGAGAGCAAAACTCCCTCTGAAGATCTGCCAGACTGCAGTTCCCCCATCCACCCAGCAGAGAGCAGCACCACGCCAGACAGACCCACGTTTCACTTCAACTCGGAGCTAGTAGCCGTGGGCGAGAACAGCTGTAGCAGCGACATGACCGATTCGTCCAGTTCTTCAGGCCAGAGCGAGGACTCAGAATCCGCCGAAAACGCTCAGAGCGAGCAGTCGCCGCTAGACGTCGACGAAAACGGACTTACGAGAATCCTAAGCTTCAGCGACACAGACAATGAGGACTGTTCTGTCAGGGAGCACAACAACAACAACTGTGACTACCAGCAGAAAAAGAGCGAGTCCATGGGCTACGGCATCTTCAGCGCGACAGACGATAAGCTTAGCACGTCACAAACAGACAACAGCCACATGGCCATGTCTGAGCTCCTAGACGAGAACGCTAATCAAGCTAACGGTCTATTCCACAGCGGCTCCATCCCCCACACGCCCTCGCCCTCCATCGATCACTCGGCCAGCTACATGGACCTGAGTCTCTCATCCGAATCAGACCTGGAGTTCTTCGACGGCTTTCCTTGCCTTGGACCGAGCTCGTTGTACAACTCCTTAAAGGAGTACGAACACGTGGACAACTTCTTTCAGTTCCAGTTGCCAACTTACCCCAGCCTTCCGCAGGCCGCCGACCCCGGCACATGTCTCCTGGAGTCTCTGATTGGCTTGTCGGATTCGGTCCCAGAACCTCCGGCAACCTTCACGGACAATCAAATGCTTGAAGATGCCATGAAGCTTTCAGTGATGGAGTCTGTAAAAGTCTAACGGGGGGGCTCTTCTGTACAAATGAACTAGGGGATTGTAAATGAATGCTATGTGTTTTGTTTTTCTTTACTTCATGAATGGAGACCCTCCATCCCAGGATATCAATCTTTGCATTACCTGCCTTTACGATGTTAGCAAAGCATTAAGTTATTATAACAAGCTTTATTATCATTATTGCCATTGCTGTGGCAGCTAACATTTCAGTTCAAAAACAAGCCTGGCCGACTGATTTTTGAATATTTGTACATATGGCCAGGAAGGTGAACTTCTCGCCTACATTGGTGGTATTATCAACATTTACCATTATTATTATTATTATTGCTAAGGTTATTTATATGAATCCAGAAGGGGCACCAATGGGAGTCATAATGCTGATTATGTATCTCAGGGACTTTTTCTAGCTTTCAGAAGCAATGCATTTTGACCATCGCTGTTATTAGGCGTTTTTCAAAGAATTTCCACCAAAACAAACAGCATTTAAATGGCCCCCTTTTGGAGGGGCTTCTGTCTCAGTCGTTTTTTGGACTTGAGATGGTGGTCTGTACTTATTTTGCAAAGCTAGAGGAAGACTCCTGTTCCACAAAACGGCTCCTTGGGATTTTTAAACGGTACACAAATCCCACCAGAGGCTCCTCAGTTAGCACTTTATCTGTGAAAAAAATGAACCAATCAGAGCGCAGATGGGTCAACATCACGTCGGCCCCATCGCCTCTGAATCTGAGATTGTTTTCATACCATTTTTTTGGTGTTGGATCATCAGCACAAAGTGGAGAAAAGTGAACGTTTTCCTTTTAATTTATTCTACACGCCGCAGATATTGCGTAATGCAACTGTGATATCTGTTGACCATTATTTCAAATTGCTTTTATTTATTCTTATCGATTTATTTATTTTTTCTCCGAACGCCAGCTGAATATTATCTGAGCCACACTGTGCTCTTGAGAAGTGGAAATAATGCAGCTTGTTCACGTTTCTCACCTACATTAACCTGTGTGAAGCACGTCTTTGTTTCAGCTGTGGAGGAAGGGGCACCAACTGCAAAGTATTTAATAATCTATTCCATTACTATGAAGTAACACTTTTGGTTAAGTTATTTCACATTTAGCATTTCAGCATTAGAACTTAATTTATTCATGGCTCGGGCAATAAAGAGAACGGTGTGCTTAACAAAAGAAAAGTTGAGTCTTTGTGCCTGTTAACACGAGGAGCCGCTTGAGATGATGCTGTATTACCTACCTATTGATTAAAAATAATCAGTTTCCGATGACGTTGCCTGTGATATAGAGAATTAACATTTTGTAACTATGTAGATTTGAGAGAATTCTAATGTTTATTGACAAATTATTTTATTAAGAAATCCACATTGTTGTTCAAATATCGAAACATTTGTAATATATTAATAGAGCTAAAGCTACGCTTGAAAAATGTATTCTGGCCAGGCATAAAGTGGGGGTTTACTTACGATGTAACTACCTAAACAAATTTACCAAGATTGTACTCGGACTGGTTGGGTGAACACAACTGACAATATGAATTGTGGGTATAAATTAAGTAGTTTCAAAAACGTTTTGTTGAAAAAACTTGCATATATTATGCAACGTGTATCATATGCACATTTGTGTTGCCCATATGGTTTCCACTTCTCAGTGAAGAAGTTTGTATGTTTCTGAATGAGTTTTGAGGAAATGAATCGATGTACATATCTGACCATCCAGACTTTAGCTGTCGGCGCAGAGATATTTGACCCGATAGGAGCATTTGCATGCAACACCCGTTCATTTGTCTCAGTACTACAAGAGTTTAGAGCAAAAAAAATGCACAATCAGAAATGTATTTGCTTCATTTTTGCCTTCATTCTTGAAGCTAATAACTTAATTGAGTCCAGCTTCTTATTCCCTTGTAAAGATGTATCACCTCATCGCCATGAAATGGAAATGATTGGTATTTATTAGCCATGATTGATGTATGTTTTGATCTGATGCTTTTCAGTGTTTCTTACTTCTGCCTTTTTTGTTGTATATATTTTCTGCTTCAACAAAACTAAAGACAAAACCAAGCAGTTCTTTTATATTATATATTTTCACGCTTAACAGTTGCAAGCTGTTCATTTCATTCGAGTCATTTGACAGTACTTTGTCCCTTCAAAATAAAAGTCAAGCTTTTTCTTATATCTGCCATTGTCTTCTCTTGTGTATGCGTATGCGAGTGCATGGGTGATAAGTTTGTAAATCAAAAATATGACCACTGAGCCCTAACATACAAATATATATCTATTTTTTCAAAAATTATAAAAAGTTGCCTTAAAGGCCAGTCTTTGAATTTTTTTTCCAGCTAAATAAATTTGCTTTAACGCCATAAACTAAAACATTCTAATGCTCCTGATGTTTCTTACCATTAAAATGTGTTATGTTTATGGTCTCACTGTAGGTGGTGGTGCTGCTGTCTACTAAATGAAAAAGACTAGAGTTTCTGAAGAAAACATGTGATCCCTTATAAAATATGAAAAATGTAAAAACACAAACTATACAAATATACTGCGTTGTCACTGAAGAATTAAACCATTTGGTTGTTTTTAATGACATGAACTCAAAACAACTTCATACATGATACATTGTCTCCATTGCCACTTCTTTCTAAACTCTTTTATTTCAATAAATACATGTATTGAAGAACCAAGAAAGAATTAAAGTAAATGAATTGTTCACGTGTCCATGAGTACTGAAGATAGACAAACACAGCTGGCCTTTACACTGATCTGAAATCAGCACTGCTGATAGCAAAAGCAGACTCCAACACATTCATTTGACATCAAATGTGAGCTGATCTTTAAAAGGAATAACTTAAAAGAGTTTTAGGTGCAAATGAGTCAAATATGGGCATGAAATAAAATAAAAGAGTTAACTGAAACCTGTGTGAGTGGTATAATTTAACCCTGCATGCTGTTGTGTTGCTCTTCCAAGGCACCTCAAGTATGGGAAAATTTTAAATTGGCAACAAAAAAAGTTTACATATTAATTACGTAAATAATATTTCTCTTCAGGGCTTCTGTCATTTTTTGCATTTGTCGATTTCCATTATTCTCATGTTGAAATTCATGTTTTTTTTTGTTTACTTTTTCCACTATTTCCAGATCCTTCACATTCATTTGAGGCTGTCTTGCAGCCACTATAGACTGATTTTGAGCAGCTCACATTGTAGGTCAAACTAATGGGGAGCTCATGATTATTGTAAAAAGGTCAGACTTTCACTACGGTACAGCTTATAGTTCACAAACATGAAAAAAAGTCATTTCAAGAAGGGCTTGATTTGACTTCTTACACCCTAATTTTTTAAAAGTCATTCTAATACTGAAGTCAGCATCTGAAATACCTCTTCAACATCATCTTTTATGAAAAACAGACAATAACAGGTCTGGAAAAAGTATGTACTCATATTGTTGTTCAGAAATTGGGATCATAATACAGTACAGCTTACAACATCATTTGGAAGTGGAGATATGGAATTAACACAGCATGGTCTCCTTTTTTTTCATTGATTAAGCTGGGTTTTGTTGTTTGCATGCTAAGTATCTAGCTACCAAGTTAGTCCCTCATTGATCATAACTGAACCAAATATACCCATGTAAATCACACGGCTAAAAAACTTCATGACTTCTAGGGCTGGGCAAAAAACAAAATTGATTTTTCGATTAATTGTTTTTTTACATGACGTCGATTCGATATCGATTCTCAAAAGTCACGAATCGATTTTTTTCCAGGATTTATTTCAGCACACATTTAAAATAAGATCTGATTAACGTGAATCTTATCATTAGTCTAGGGACATCTGAATCGATACCCAGCCCTGTACTGTGTACTGATCAAAAGTAACTGGACTACATCTAATGAACTGCCAAACTGGCTTTATAAACCCATCACAGAGTACTGAAAATCTGAGGTTTGCATATTATTAGGCAGAGGATTAATTATACATAGTTGGTGCATAAGAATAGAGCCAGTGCTTGAGGATCAGGCTGTAGCCGAAGCACATGCTCATTCATATACATCAACAGCTCCAAAAACCAAAGCGGAGAATCCATTCTCATTATGCTATGGCTTTACCAATGCTGTCGCTAAAGCTGCTCAGACATGCTCAGGTATTTGGACTCAGCAGCAGCAGCATGAGCGGTCGACTGAATCCTGAATCTTCCTCATTTGAATCTGGATTTGAATCACTGTGTTCACACTACACACAAATCCGATTTGTTTTTTAACCAGGAATGATATTTTTGTGATCGAACCGGTGATGAAATCTGATGTGTATCAACATGATGCCATGAGACTTTCTCATACAACAACTGCGTGTAAAGGGCTGTTCACACAAAGCATGATAACTATAAAGTTTTAATAAATGTTTTTATTTTATTGAAAATAGGGAAGTCACACCACAATGGTAATGACAAAGAAAAACATCACTGGAATCAGTTTCAGAATGATTTTTTTATGCTGATGAATGACAGTCAATCAAAATGCACCTCATATAACAATGTTTTTGTCCATTGGTGTGGACACTAATATTCATAGTTATCATTCTTGGAGTGAACAAGAGGACAACAAATTAAACGTTTAGCCTTGGTTCATATCTATCATGACATCTCTTAAGCTTTAGACCAAATGAGACATTTAGGAACCCATACTGTCCGAAAGCACTGACTTTTTTGGGTTTTGAAATGATGCCATAGAAGATCCATTTTGGGTTCCCAAAAGAACCTTCTGAAGGACATTTTTAGAAACTAAAGAAGCTTTTTTCCACTTTGAAAGAACAATGGAAAGCATCCATGGATGTTCAAGGTTCTTCATGGAATCACAGATGCCAATAAAGAACTATTTTTTAGAGTGTATATAAGGAAAGAGAGAGAAATATTGCCATGTCTGGTTTGTCTGATTTTACCATTTAGACTGAGAAAAAAAAATCTGATTTGAATCAGATTTCAAACCAGATATGGATATGATTAGGATCGGGTTTGTAAACAACAGATTTCATGTGTTTTCTGTTGTTCACACTTACAAAAAACAAAACCGGTTTGAATACGGATTTGCCAAAGAATCCATTGAATTGATCTGACTTCTTCAAGACCTGATACTGGACCACTGAAGAAACATCTGATCCAACAGTATGCATCTAAACACATATCGCCATTTGACAGTCAATCACTGAACAGACAGAATGATTATGAAGATGAAGAACGAGAAGACAAGGCTTCAAAGTCCTTCTCCAAATGCGTTTTAGCAGTCCACTCAGTGCCAGCAGACCTCACTGCTGACGGGGCAATCTGAGGCACTGAATTTACATACAGGACCATGTGATCTGTCTGGAGGAGGCTGAATGTTCTCGTACAGCTCCTTGAATACCATCCGAATCACATTGACGCCTCCAAACTAACCAGAAGGGAGTTGTTAACACCATTTCGAAGTGTATTTCTTCACAGATTTGTTCAGAAAGACCATGTGAGACTGTTAGGAATACAGTTGTGAATTATGATCATACAGTAGAAAGCGACTGCCTGGAGGCTTTAATGCGGTACAGCGTTGCATAGTACTGATATCCATTTGTGCTTGTGTTACGTCTTTGATATAATAATCTTGGAACCCAAGATTGGATACAGAGAAATGTCCTCTCTGTTCCTCATTTAGCACCATGAGAGGTCTTCCATATGCTTCGACAGCAAATACTACGCAATGTGAGTTTGTACTGGTGACATTGAGATCGGTGAGCACAGCAAGCCCCTGAAAGCCATGCGGAGCAAAACAGGCGTACGTCGCACGCTGTCTGACACCTGACAGGAAGGCACATGGAGGCAGATGTCAGGGCTCACGTTCCTCAAATGTGCATTTCCTGCAGCGAGCGGGCAGGTGGGGTTATTGCTTTGAGGGTGTTTCCGGGGCAGCTCTGGCTGCAGTGTCCGCGGTTGAGCGGGGGCTCGGGACGGGGTGTGAAAACAGGGCAGGAGCGGGTACGAGCGTGGCTCTTGTGGCCTCCCGCGTGACAGATGAGCTCGCTGACGGTGCCCAGAGGAGGCAGACGCCGCTGCCAGCGCTCCAGACGATCCTCTTTGTATTTAATTGAATACCAGGTGAGGAAAATGAACACAAAGCCCACAAACTTGAGGCTGGCGGCCAGGCCGAAGTACACGAAGCGGAAGGAAGTGACATCGTACTCCCAGCACGAGCCGTGAATGCCGCAGTCCTGCTGCCAGAGCATGCAGGTGGTGTCAATCACCGCACCAAAGTAGATTGGTGTGGGAATGTAGGCTGCAGACATGGAAAAAGAGAAGAATTGTGGTAAAGGGAAGATTGAATTGTTAACTTCCAATTGATTTTTTCTTGTGGAGTCACTTTTTGGTTCTGTAAGCTTTACATTTTATGCTGCATTTGTTTCCATCATCTTATCGAACTCAAATGTATAATGCTGTAGTTTACGTTTAAGAACACAAGGTGGGGCTATATGAAAAGCTCTGCTGCAGTGATAAACAAGGCTGATGGATTTCATGACAAAGTTGATTTTTAAAGCCTTGCATTCTTCAAGTAAATAAAGCATTTATGACTTACCCAGAGTTCTTAGTAGCACAAACTGCATTCCTAAAGCAAACGGTCGTTCTTGCTCTTCTACTGACCTGCAAAAGAAAATTACTTTATTGTATTCTTTAATACCATCTACTACTAATTGCATGAATTGACAAATAAATAAATAAATAAATAAAATTATGATACACTACCATTTAAAAGTTTGGTATCAGATTTTTTTTAAAGAAATTAATTATTTTTAGTCAGAAAAGATGCACTTAACTGATCAAAGGTGACATTAAAGACATTTATAATGTTACAATAGTTTTATTTCAAATAAATGCTGCTTTTTTAAAAAGCTTTCTATGCATCAAATAAGCCTGAAAAAAAGTATCACAGTGTGCACAAAAATATTAAGCTGCTGTTTTCCACATTGAAAATTAGAAATGTTTCTTGAGCAGCAAATCAGCATATTATAATGATTTCTGAAGGATCATGTGACGCTTAAGACTGGAGGAATGGCTGCTGAAAATTCAGCTTTGCTAGCAAAGGAATAAATTAAATTTTTAAATATATTACAATAGAAAACAGCTACTTTAATTTTTAATAAGGTTTCAAAATATTCATAACTATCAAATAAATGCAGCCTTGCTGAGCATAAGAGACTTCTTTCAAAAACATTAAAAAGTCTTACTTATCCCAAACGTGCTAAAACGGCATTAATGATTTCTGTTTTAAACGAAAAACAAAAATGCACCTTTTAAGTCATCATAAAAGATCAGAAACTTTAGTCACTGTTTCCTACCTGAGAGTGACGATAATGGCGGAGGGCTGTGCGCAAGCTGTGATGAGCGTAACGATGAAGAGGAAGATGAGGAAGGGGATGAGCGTGTTGCAGGTGCGATCACACTTCCCTGACACAGCGAATCCGTTCTCGTTCAGGTAGGTCTTCACTATGACCAGTTGCAGCTGGTTGCCTTGGCCGCTGCTGGGTGGAGTGATGACCTGCCTGCTCTGCACACACGCACAGTCTGTGTAGTTTCTGATCTGCATTAAAAAATGCACATGAACATTACCACAGATATTCGAAAATTTAAAAGACATTGTTGCGATGCAATTCTGTGATTATGGAAAATATTCATATTAAATTACATTCATTCATTTAAATCTAAACTAATAATAATAATAATAATATTAATACATTTTAAATTACAACAACAATAATAATAATAAATTTAAAACAAACCTTTAAAAATATAATAATAATTTTATAATAAATTTATCATTAATAACAATAATCAGGGATGCAAAGTATATGCTCTGACCCAAAAGTGACAAGACATGCTGACACCAACTAGCTTTCACATCTGCTTTTTTTCTAGAATAAAATGGACACCTGTATCAGTGACCCAGAACAATAAGCAAAGATAGTGAGATGAGATGTTTACATGTAAATAGATGTGGCTGGAATGAAAGACCTGTGCTAGATGATTAAGATTTAATATCAGTGTTTAGCATTGGGTATGTCTTGACCTGAAATGATCTGTGCTGTCCCAAAGATTTGGAGCATCTCCAGAAAGACATGCAGTGTGACTCACCCCAGTGCTGTCATTGCCGACAGTGCTGCATCCTGCCAGGCAGGGGTTGAAATATGTGATGCCATCTGAGCCACAAACAGGAGAGTACTCGTTGATCCGACAGCCACAATTCACATTACAGCCTCCCGTCAGGTTTCTGTGGGTCAGAGTGAGGGTCGGCCTGAAGAAAAACACAGAGGGGGAACAGTTTGAGAATAAAATGCATCACATCAGCTGCTGTAGGCAATATTTGGAATACCCTAAAATGCATTAAACATGACCTGACATATAACACTGAAAAAGGTGTTCAGAGAAAGCACACTTGTCTGTGTGACAGGCTCTGTATTTATGCATTAGCTAATGTGAGAACTCATTAGCCAATAAGAAAATTCATGAACTGCATATACAGTATATATAAAAATTCAGCTTTGAATTTTAATAATCATTATATATATTATGAGAAAAAATAAAACATTACTGGGCCATATATACTTGCAAACACACACACACACACACACACACACACACACACACACACACAGACACAGACACAGACAGACACACACACACACACACACACACACACACACGTATTTAAATGATTTATTTAGAATTTATTTAATTATTATATAATGAACAACATATAACGTTAACAAATTTAATTAATTTTGTTAATATTTATTTATTTATTTATTTTTAGTCTTTTACTGTTCAGCCAACAAGCAATGATCATTTAAATCTTGGATGTATATAATATAAACTCAATGCTAAATAAATGAGAGTGGCTCATTAAAATAATCTAAAAATATATTTTAATATATAATATATTAAATATAATATTGGGAGATTGAACATGTTGGCTAATATATTGATCTGTTTCATTTTTGTAGAACATTTTGGCCATTAGTTTATCAATATCTAGAATTGTTACTAGACTCTTTTATATAAGAGGTTTAGAGTTTTTAGACTGATGTATATGGACTATGTTTAAACAACAACCAATATAAGTAGTACAGAACAGTACACTAAGATTTATTGACTGATTGTCATTTGACTATATAAAAGACAAAAATGACTTTCAAAGCCACTATTCCTCTCAAACGATCATCTCCCGCAGAGGATAAAAGAGAGTAAGAAAAAAACAGACAGACAGTATAATTAAATGAAGAGATACTGTATAAACAGTTATTTTAATGCCGTGGGAACGGCAGGCAAATTCAAACAGAGCTCTTTCCCACATAAAACACAGAGCAATCAGCACCAGCTCTGGTTGACTTTACATTATCCTCTCAGATCTGCAGCAGAATGAGGGGATGAATCACGGCATAACACAGCCAGCAAGACGGACGGAAACAACAGCGATCGGAATCCAGTCTTTAAACACTGAATGAGACAGACCCCTCTGCTATAAAACTACACACCATAATAGTCAGTTCTCATTCTTCTAGGACATAAAGGGATAACTTGGTGCTTTGGTTTGTCATTTGCAGCTCACATCCAAGTCAACATCTCTCAATTTGTGTTCCATAGAAGAAAGAAGGTCATATAGGTTTGGAATGACATGAGTAAATAATGACAGAATTTAATCTGTGGACAAACTATCCCTTTAAGCTTCAGTTAACGGAAGCAGTTTTCTCTTCAAGGTCACCCGAGCTGAAGCAGCTGTGGTTAGCAAATGAATAAATAATAAATAAGAGCTTCTAAATGTGCATGTGTCTCCTTTAACCATAAAAGAATACTGTTATAGAACATACAGGATGAGAGAAGCTAACCTTGAGAAATAAAGAAACAGTTTATTCGGACGGATGTGAAATGTAAGCGTTGACTCAATAGTCAAATCAAATCTCAAAGTATTGAGTCAACGCTTACATTTCACATCCGTCCGAATAAACTGTTTCTTTATTTCTACATCTGTGTCTGACAGGGGAGCTCTATCTGTTAAAAGGGCCTCACACTTTAGTTCCGTGTCTTCCAAAAAACACGATGTCTCGCAGGTCAAGGCTGTGCAAACTCCCCTACTGCAGACTTTAGCACAAGAAACTTGTTATGTCACTCAATGGTGCCTTATAAGGTGGACGAAAGGAAATAGACAATGGACTTCACAGAGCAGAAATGTCAAACACATGGCTCATGGGTCAAATACAGTATGTGAAAGAGCCCAAACCAGGAGAGAAAAAAAAGTATTAAGTACACTAAGACTTAATGTGCTTAATATGGTTAAAGTTATCCAGCCAAAAGCAGTGAGTGGTTACTAATTTCACATGAAAATGCAATTTTAAGGCCTGAATTGTGCATGCTCAATAGGTACAGAAACATTTAAGAAGGACAAAGTTGTGTAGGATTAGTTAGAGCTGCAAGCAAACAACCACAAAATCAATCACATATGTCTTTTCAGACCATACGTACAGACATATGTAAGGGCATTGAAATGCAGCATGACGCAAGAAACAGCCCTTCCACCTGCTGTTCAACATATGTTTCTTACGTCGTTTGTAGTATTTTAGTGTTTATACAACCCCAGTATAACTGAAACCTCAAAACATAAATAGGATACCCAAATCTACGCAGTATACATCAAATCTTACACTGAAAGGTTTTAATGCCTTGTAATTCACTTACCCTGTGGTATAAGGGATATTGATCCCGCCCAGGTTTATACTCTCACAGCCCACGATGAAGAGCGTGGAGAAGCACAGAAGAGACACCCCGCTGCAGATCATGGCCAGCTTGGCGGACTCACGAGCTCCAAGCTTGAGTTTCTTAATGATGTAGCCACCAAGTACAATGCCCACCCCTGCACTGGGCACGATAATGACGCCTAAAAGAAAAAAAGGATCGGAGATCAGTCAAAATACTCATCCAGAAAGCCACTTATCACAATAAACATCAGACTTGAATGATATGTGTAACCATGATGTATGTATGATGTATCAGGGACGTTTCCTCCGAGGAGGCAAGGGAGGCAGTGTCTCCTCAAAATATTGGATGAGAAAAAAAATTGTAGTACAAAGATAAAACAATGCCAGTATTACAAAATCTAACATTAAAAAGTGTATAAATCACTCGCTTTTCTAAAGAAACACTGTCCAATAGCGACACCAGCAGGTAAAGTTACAGCGCGAGTCGCCTCCTCTGAGCCCATTGAGTTTTAATAGACTCCTTAAAGTGTGAGTTTGGTGGGGGGTAATTAAGAATGAATGGGGGAAAGTCACGTGAGAGGAGGAAATGCCTCCATAACGATGTGATTGGATATGACCGGTTATGATCAGCTGTGATTGGTTCATGCGATAAATGCCGCCTCTTGTGTTCGTGCAACATTCTGCGTTCGTGAATCAGTCTGAATGAACAATATAATGGCGTTAATGGGAAGACTAATTTAAAAAAGTAAGCAAACAACTCACACACTTAGATTTGTTGAGAGATTGAGAGATTTTCACACTTTGTTACGAATACAAAATAAGACTTAAAATAGCCTGAAAACATGATCTGTGGGAATTTTTAGTAAATAATCAGCTTGGTGAAATTTAAAGTAAATCTCTGTGTCTGTGACCAGTATTTATTGAGCTTTGATGACTGATGATACGACAAATTAAAAAATAGTTAAAAGTTAAGAATAGCTGAATATAAATTCACAAATAAAATGTACTGTTTAATCTGTTACTGCCTTGAGTTATTATTTTGGAATAAATGTAAAATGCTTAAAAACACTAACTTGATGAGATTAATACTTTAATTTTTTATGAGATTAATACTTAATTAAATAGAATATTGATTACATTTTTAATGTAAAAATATGAAATATGATTTTTTTGAGGACTTTTCCTCCTCATTTCATATATATATATATATATATATATATATAGACAGACAGACAGACAGATAGATAGATAGATAGATAGACAGATAGATAGATAGATAGACAAAAATAAAATTCTACAAAATTATAGAAGTAAAATGTGACAATGCAGCTCAAGGAAAGGAATGTCCACATATTTCTATGGGTGGAAGTTAACACAAAGACCTGAAGGAATGTGAACATCCTGAACATATTTCACTTCCTGGTCACTTCCTGTTTGTTGCTGCCGTGTGTTTTGAATTTGAGCTCCGTCAAGTTAATTCTTTATCGTCTATTTTTTTTATCTTAAAATCAATTTTATACACCATCATTTTTGTTCCGTGTGAATATATCCCCTATCATATTCTGGAATCTTTTCTGGGAGCGTCCTAGGCTTTTTCGTGCTGATAGCCTGCACCACAGCAGAGTCGGCGAGGAACTCCTGTCGGACAACATCTCCAGGACGCTGCGCTCCATATGACTAGTAAGTCAAATCTCAAATAACTGCCATGATGACTTTTGTTCTACCCGCTTAAATGATAGAAGTACTTGCGCTGTCCAATCTATAAAGACTTTGTCTGTTCCCCGAAGGGTGAGGTCAAAATATAAATTTAATGCAGGATCTAGAAAAAATCTGATCGTGATTAAACCAGAAAAATGTTAAATACATAAACAAAAACAATTTTGAAAGTTTGGGCTCCTACCACAACTAGATCCTAGTGAACTGGCAAATTACAGACTAAGGACAAACGTTTATGTAGTGATCGAGTGACTAAGAACCACAGATAGACATCAGAGGCTGACAGAATAACAGTGAGCGGGGACAGAATGTGCATGAGGCAGAGCAGTGTGGCACACGTGCTGGCATCACAGCTTGGGATTTGAAAGTCAAAGCTGACTGCTAGCAGTCCGAGGTCACTGTGTAAATCCATTAGGTGGGCAAGGCAAGCACATGCCTGCTTTCAGCACAGTCAAGAGTGAGCGCCTCGTAAAAGCAAATTTATAACGCGTAAGAAAAGCTGGGTAGAAACTCAAGACCACTCTCTAATAAATGCATCATAACACAATCTAAATACAGAAATCAAATTCAACATCAGTCCATTTTTGATTCAGTCAAGGTAACCTCTTTAAGGTTTTAGGAGGTCTATATCCATTAGCATTCTCATTTATCTCAATGATAGTTGTGTGGTTGGCACAATATATTATTCCACTGCAAAATGTATCCATTTTATTGGCTGAGACAGCTCTTTTAAGTGTACTTTATTCAGTCCTTAAGTAGAAATGAGAGAACAGTCACTTTACCGTATTTAGCAATCATTTCATGATGAAAAATGTACATCTTTTAAATGATGTAAAACCTACATCTTTTGAATATCACATTATATAAAATAATCAAAGTAAATTAAATTGAAATGACATTCCCTTACACTCGTAAGCATATAGACTTTTGGGCAAATATTCTGTGGACTGATGAGACAAATGTTGAACTTTTTGGAAGGTGTGTTTCCCATTACATCTGGTGTAAAACCAACACAGGATTTCATAAAAAGATCATCATACCAACAGTCAAACATGGTGGTGGTATTGTGATGGTCTGAGGCTGCTTTGCAGCTTCAGGACCTGGATGACTTGCCATAATTGATGGAACCATGAATTCTGCTCTCTATCAGAAAATCCTGAAGGAGAATGTCCGGCCGTCAGTTTGTGACCTCAAGCTCAAGCGCACTTGGTTTATGCAGCAGGACAATGATCCAAAACACACCAGCAAGTCCACCTTTGAATGGCTCAAGAAAAACAAAATTAAGGTTTTGGAGTGGCCAAGTCAAAGTCCAGACTTAAATCCGACTGAGATGCTGTGGCATGACCTTATACAGTCCATTCATGCTCAAAAGCCCTCCAATGTGGCTGAATGAAAACAATTCTGCAAAGAAGAGTGGGCCAAAATTCCTGTGAAAGACTCATTGCCATTTATCGCAAACGCTTGATTGCAGTTGTTCCTGCAAAGGGTGGCACAACCAGTTATTAGATTTAGGGGGCAATTACTTTTTCACGTAGTGCCAGGCAGGTTTGGACAGCTTTTTTCCCTTAATAAATGAAATCATAATTTCAAAACTGCAGTTTGTATTTACTCAGGTTATCTTTGTGTAATATTAAAATTTGTTTGATTATCTGAATCTTTTAAGTGTGACAAATATGCAAACAATTAAAAAAACAGGAAGGGGGCAAAAACTTTTTCACACCACTGTATACTGTATATACACACACACATAGGTGCCTCATTAGTTTACTGCAATAAATCATGCAATGATCAAAATCTACTATATAGCATAATCAAATATTAGCTATATATGTTCCTTAGCTAACAGTTAAACCTACTAGCTCAGCATTGTGTTAACTGACAAAAATAAGCCACTGGTAAAAATCTACTATAAAAAAATGTAAACATTTACTATTTATATGCTTCTTGGAAAAAAGCATATATGAGAATACACAGCTAATTTTGAATGGTCATCAGTTGAGAAAGATACTAGTTGGTGCAGTTGCAAAATCTACTAGCAGGGGCTATCTGGACCATGTTAACCAGACAAACGTTGATCTCTTGGGCTAAACCAGCAAGGCTGTCTCCTTAGCCAGCCAACGTCACCAGCTAGACTAGCACCAAACTAGCCAGGAAATCCATGGCAGTCAACTTCAAGCTGATTACACCTAACTTCATTACACTCCATAAAATGCTTGCACACCCACACGTGGATAAACACACATACCCTTCCAACCTGACAAGGTGGTAAGAACGCCCGTTCATGAGACAACCACGGCTGTGTGAAGCCAATACAGTGTTCCTCTGGGCTATATTTAGCCAGAAGTGCGTCAGGAACACCTCCCTGTCATGAAAGGAGAAAGAGAAACAAGCACTATTCACACAAACCCTCAGTGTGTCTAGAAGGAGAGCAGAGAAAGTCTCCTTGAGAGGATATCCTGGGAGATTCGGCCCTGGCTGCGTGCACAGCTGGCATAGAGCTGCGTGTGTGTTGAGGAGGAGGGCAGCGTGGGACATGCAAAGGCAAAGTACAATGATTCCTGTAGGCCACAAGCTGGAGCAAAGCAGGGTGTTAATGACCACAGCCCACTGACAGATCTTTCTCACACACACACACACACACACACACACACACACACAAGCGTCTCTCTCTCTCTCTCTCTCTCTCTCTCTCTCGCTGTCATTAGTGCTGTTTGAAGTCATGTGGACTTGAAGACACAGTGAGATGCATGGGAATGAAAAAGCCAAGAAATCCACAAAGAAACGCTTTGTTATCAAGCCTCTGTTTGATATTAAATGACACATTTTAAATCGCTATTATTAAAACAGACAGTTCTAACTTTTAATTATGATTAAATGAGTCACGTTTGATGGCACTATAAAATACAGACACACACCTGTGATGCACATTCTACAATACTACGTTACTTAGCAAATGTAAATGACCTATACTTAGACAAATGTTATTTGGCCAAAGAATTGTTTTTTTTCCCCCTCATGGTTAATATTAATTAAATAAATAAAGTAAAATAAAAATAAATTCTAATAATAATTAAAAAGTTATTATGATTATGAATTATGCAAATACAATAATAATAGTAATAATAATAATAATAATAATGATAATGATAATAATAATGATAATAATAATAAGGGATGCACATACGTTTTTCAGCCTGGTTCTCAAAAGAGAACCTGGAGATTTAAATATAAAAAAAAAAAAAAACAATTATAATATTGATGATAATATTATTGCATTTATTTATTCATTTTTTTTAAAATAATAAACAAAATAATAAAGCGTGATAATACTATTATATTTTAAAATATAATAAAAT